ACACTTGGATGTCGACAGCCTGTCACGTAACCCGGTCCTCACGGAAGAAAGCGAGGATATTGAAGACGTCCCAACCTTCCTAATGATGCAGAGGATTTAGCCAAGGAGCAGGAGCAAGATAAAGAACTGAACCAAATAATTAGTATCATCAACAACCCCAACGATCCCACCACCCCCATCGGAGTAGCCAAACGAGCAAAAAACTTCAGGCTTATAGAAAACGTATTGTATAGAATTAACCCCTCCCCAACAGGATTGGACAATCTTTCAGTCATACCTAGCCACCTAGTAGGTGAAATTTTGTTCTCAAGTCACGCTGAGCCCCTATCTGGGCATTTAGGCATAGCCAAGACGTTGAACAAAATCAAAGACAGGTATTACTGGGGGAGCCTTCAGAGAGATGTCGAGAGATTTGTGAAAGGGTGTACAGACTGCCAGGCTCGGAAAGGGCAGAATAATAAGAAACCAGCAGGTCTACTCCAACCGATCCCCGTAGGAACACACTTCGAAAAAATCGGCATTGACCTACTGGGACCTTTCCACAAAAGTAGAAGTGGTAAGACAATGATCGTGGTAGCCACAGATTATGCAACAAGGTGGGTCGAAATTGCGGCCCTACCAAATGGGAAAGCAGGGCCAGTCGCCAAATTCATATTGGAAAAAATAATATGTCGTCACGGTTCACCAAGACACATCTTGTCGGACCGAGGGTTAACGTTCAGGTCACAATTTGTGATGGAGCTACTGAGCATGATGGGGACGGTGAATCAATACACCACCGCCTACCATCCAAACTGCAATGGACTGGTAGAACGTCTCAACGGAACCCTGGCAAACATGCTTGCCATGTATACGAACACACAACAGACTGACTGGGACGAATTCTTACCCCATGTCACATTTGCTTATAACACAGCGAGGCAGGATACGACACGCTACTTCCCATTTATGCTCGTATACGGAAGGGAAGCCATCCTCCCGAGTGAGGCAAACCTAATGGCACCAGGAAACTCCCCAGACGCGGAGGAAATCAGGGAACGAGCCTTAGCAGTCAGAAGCGAGGCCATTGCAAATATCATCAGAAAACAAGGGATCGACAAAACCAGGTACGACGAAAGACACCGGCACCTGGAGTTCAGTGTAGGAGATAAGGTAAAAGTCTATACTTCAGTCCGAAAGAAAGGTCTCAGTGAAACATTGTTACTGAAATGGTTTGGACCATACTTTATCACAAGGAAAATGAGTGACGTAGACTACGAGATACAGAAAGGGCCGACAAGACAGTGCAAGAAAGAGGTGGTACACGTGAATAGAACTTTGCTATACAACGACCCTTGGACCCCCGAACCCACCAGGGAAGAAGATGAATAAGAGGACATCGGAGAAAAGCATAATGTGATTAGAATAGTATTATATGCATCTGATATTTGTTATATATGAATAAAATATACCCCAAAATAAGGATTATCGATAAAAAACACCCGTGTACATAAGACCCCCCCCTTGAATACCATTGTATGTATATAACGCAAAATGTCCCCCCGTATAGTAAATAATTGTAGAAATACTTGTGAATAATAAGTGTGCCCTAACGCCCTGACGCCCTGACTACGTTTTTATATAAAGCAACTGGTTATATTTAGCTTGGTTATAGTAACAGTACCATATTTCAGACTATCGATTGAATTAACCTATGGTGCTCATTATTTGGAGGTAACAGCAGGAGCCTTCTGGAGGTCACTACCCCAGACGGTAAGCTATGAGGCAACCATCCCTCTGGTCTATAAAACAGACTGGTATGAAAAGGACAACCCGGTAAACACCCAGAGTATTGAACCCTGCAGCAATAGGATCGATAGAGTATCAACAGAATGTGTAATAATGAAAAATCTACATTACCTACAAAAAGCGTTCAAAACAGAATTCGCATCCTTAGCCAAGAGTTGGAGTCCCTTGTACCTTCAAAATTGCTCATCCCAAGATAATTTTAAATTAAGAAACAAAAGAGGCTTAGACTTCTTGGGAGACGCTCTCAATTGGTGTTGTAGCGTAGCCACAGACAATAAACTAGAATCATTAGTCATGAATGAAAGGGACCTACAAGAAAAAATTTTCAAACTCAAAAAAGAATTATCAAAGTCGTCAAAAAACATTGGAGAAAGTTCAGTTAAATTCAAACAGCATGTAGATGCCACAGCATTAGCTTTAAAACAACTGAAAAACACATCCATGAATTGGAACAGTTCATGACCAATCTCAAAAAAGAACTGACCTTGGAGGAAAACAATCAGAGTCACCTCACAATATCAGTTTTAAACTTGGAATTCCAAAATATGAAACAAAACATAGAAATCACTAGAGCAATAAAACGACAAGGGATTCTCAACTCGTGTAGACAGCACCGAATTCCAATAGCAATACTAGATCCCTCCGTCCTTCTCCATGACCTAAACAGCTTAACGGGAGAGCTGGCACTGTCAAATCAGGAATTGGCAATAGCAACAAAAGACATCTCAAAATATTATCAACTGCCTATCTGTGACTGCACATTTACAAATAAAAATCTTTTCATACATATTCGTATTCCTATCTCTCAGAGGTATCACTCTTGGGAATTATTTCAACTCATCACAACATCTTTCGCTTGGCATAATCAAACTTGCAAAATCTTACATGACACAGTATTCGTGGCAGTCTCAAACAGTAATCAGCATCGACCAACCCAAATCAGACAAATCTCAGGAAATGGTCTCCAACACTGCAAACCATTCCACGACAAGCTCTGCTATCTGCCACGATTCTCCGCAGATTCTCTTCAAGGGCCTGCATGCGCAAAGAAATTGTTCAATGGGGCGACGGTGGAGAAGATGAACCATCACTGTCCCATGAGCTGTCACAAGTCCTCGACAACGGTAATATATGAAATAGAGGTTGAAACTTACATTATTACACACCCTAAACACCAAGTGGTTATTCAATGCCCAAATTCCACGAATAATCTCCCAGACATTGCCTACACTACACCGGGTGCCATTAAAGCCAATATACCCTGTAGTTGCAATTTGGTCATGGAGGAAGAAGTCATTATCCCCCCGAGATATCCCTGTGTACAGGACTCACCACACACGGCCACCATATTCCACATTATCCCGGCGGCGTGGTCAAATTTGAAATCTTTTATTCTCAATCCAAAAACAAAGTCGAATTCACCCACGTTCAGTAAAGTTGAAGAATGCCTACATACCAATTGGACCCTAAACATCCCCCATGTCAATTTGACATCCACTCAGGACAACATACAAGAAATTCTAGAATCTATAGAGGATAAAACGGAAGTGCTATACTCTGATACTTACGGTATTCATGGAGATACCATATTTTTAATCTGGAACTCAATCCTGTCAATTTGCGTGGCATACATCCTATCCGGGAATCGCCACAACCTGGCTCTTATTCCGACGGTCCGGGCCGACAAGGTCACACCCATCAGTCACGACGTAATATTTTCCATCCTGTGTATCACACTGATTGTTTTCGTGGCTTACATAGGTTATAAATGGATTTCCATATGGCTCATGCATAAAAAATTACCTGCAAAACAGAGCGAAGTTAGTAAACCAGAACCTGCTAGAAGGAAGGGCAGAGAGTCAAATAATAAAATATTGATAGAAATGGATAGTACAGAACTATCCAACTTGAGCGGCACGGGAAGCATAAGTTGCACCTTGCACAGATGCGGAAGTTCTGAAGAGGAGTCTTAAAGAACCCTCAAAACTTCACTTGTGAATTTCAAATATGTACCTATATTATCTTTCGTTATTTTTTTTGTTTCTTTTTGGTTTTCGAGAAATGACCCCCACTCTCCCGAATTATTTTTTTTCTGCTGTAATGTTTTGACGTCTCCAGAAAATATGAATTGAATGAATCGAAGTAAGAAATCACTGGAAAGGATGATGAATTGAAAACCCTACCTATATGCCTCACATTTGAAGTACAAAGAAATGAATAAGTAATTGATTCGAATAAATAACACAATAATACCAGAATACAAGGGATAGGTGCACCTTTTATGAAATTGAAGTAGGAAAAATAAGGAATAATAGGATACAAGTCAAAAGTATAGATATGGACGAGTTTCCAGGGCGCGAGTGTGGAAGAATATCTAATAATAGATTGAATATTCCCCCCTGACGTGCGTCCACGATCAAGACGAGTAAATAATGATAAAATGAATAGGAAAATCAAGTACAATGTAGCAGGAGAAATGTAATGAAGTAATTGAATGATTGAAGGGTATATCAGGGTACCTTATCTTTGATGGCAGTATTATTATTTCCCAAATATAATGATTTTCTTTTTCGGTTTAGTCTCTGCTGAATATTATTATTTTCTCTTCCTTTATTTCTCCAGTTTTCGGATTCTCTGAGATCGAGAACTTATTTCAAATTGCCTCCTTCGAAACACAAGTTACATACCCTTAACGTTCTGAGATTGCCATTGCTTACAGATTTTGAGCAACTTTCAGTGATGTGCACCTTTTTTCCACACACAATGCATTCATGTGTTCCAGTGATAGGTAGATCACAATCACCACACATGGGAGAGTTTGTATCGGAAGTTGAGACTTAGTCGATAACTGGATCCTCGTTAATAATATTCTGAAATGAATCCAAATCTTTGAAAATATTGTTCGCAACGGGTTCCTCCCGAGGTTCCTTCAGTTTGGTGTTTATAATATTAATATTGCTTGAGTTTTTCAGAGTGTGCTATTCTATTTTGACATTAACCAATTTCATTTTACCACGCAAATAATCTTAATGTCTTCTGACAAAACGATCCACCCTCAGTGGAAGTTCTCTTTTTGCGAAAATAACATTTTTCAGCTTATTGCACTCTCCCTCGATAGGAGCACTTGAAGCTGTCTTGCCTTCCGGAAGGCCAAATGTCTTATTGCATACACAGGACCACATGGGATATAGGGTCGAATCTTATATTAAATATTAAGCTAGCTTCTGCTCAGCAACAAAATGAGCATTTTCACGATCCCCCTGTTCCTTTATCGATATATTCATCGAGTTGTTCAAAGATTCTGCCCACTTCGTCCACAGGTTGGAAGTAATTTTATTCTTACTTGCCTCTACATCGTTGATTTCTTGTTCCTCCAATTGAGTTTTTTTATATTCCTCATCAGTTGTACTGCAGAGTTCCAAAAATGATTCTTCGTCCTGAAATTCTGTATCAAAATATTCATTAATTTCAAAAAATATTAGAGAACGAACATTGCGGAGGCGTACTCCCAAATGGAAGTGTTACCCAGGCGGAATTCGCACCAGCCTAATAACTATATTTTATATTCAGTATAAGTATTCGTATGATCGTATTTATGAAAACTATAGGTATGTTTAAAGAAAATCTGGAATTTTCTGATCTGCTCTAACTTCACATATTATTAAAATCATACTGATATTTTAATATTCAGAATCGAGGCAAGAGAAACTCAACAACTTATAGAGAAATGACTATTCCATCTCCTGGATTAACCTAAGAAAGTAATTCAAATGATAATATCATCTATACCTGTTATTAAACGTTTCAACATGTTCTTAGCATCTTCACAAGCAGTGTTTTTGCCGCAAGATAATGTCCCTTCAGTTTCCGATTGGCTGACTATTAGAATGGCTTTGATTAGAGTTTCTGCATCAGTAATATTAGAACATTTTATGAGTTGCCCAATAGACGCCAAATAAAATGTTTTTACTCTCCTTGGCACCATCTTTAGTAGCGAACTATATATTGTTTTGAAAATGGGCAACATCTATTCGAATGTAAACCTTGATTTGCTCATGATCCTTCAGAGCATCAGCATAGTCCTCTATTGATGGTAAAGCTGTGAAACTTCTTACTACCGCATTCAATAACGCTCTCGAATCGTCAGTTACACATTGATTTGGAATTGGTGCTCCTGAACGAAACCACATTTTAATCCATGTCTCCAAAGCTACTGTGTGGGACATTTCCGATAACATATGTGCAACTGTAAATTGTCCAGAGGTAGTATTAACCGCGATAGCGTGAAGAAATATATGTCTTGGAATCCTGAAGCTTGGCTCTTTCAGTTTCCTCACAACACTACCAGTACTGTCCAGGCATACACAGACGTTGCCAGCTGCGCAAATACTTTTGTATGCTTGGAGCTGATGATTTGTGCTATATTGAACAAAAAATTGATCGAGTCCAATACCTTGAATGAAATTTGAATATTTCATCATGACTAGAGCTTTAACAGGATCTGGTTCCAAGTGCTCTCTGGCAATATGTTGGCTTTTAGCTGTTCATAAAACATTAGAGCGAGGAATTATGGGTGGTTCCAGATCTCCAGGAAGCATTAATTCATCCGCTCTTTCAGGCACGATATAATTCTACGCTCTTGAGATCAAGTGCCGTGCAAACTGTGCACCTAAGTGGCTCTTGTAACCACCTCTTGCCACATTTTCCAGATCCTGAGGTCACCTTAACTGTGGCCATAACATTTTCAGAAAGAGGAATCTCATCAAAATCACATTTCATAATGCTGCCACATTTGCAATAACCTGAATACAGAAAAAAAAATCAGAAAAAGATATGTTTAATTCTTTTGTTTTGATATTTCAGTACCCCTAGAATACATATTGATTTCCTGCAAGAAATACATAGATTACACCTCCTCTAGATACCAAAGAAGCTAGCAAAGCCACTTTCGAATTTCAACATGAGACACATCTCATAATTTCAGGCTCATTTTAGGCTAATTTATTACCCCATTCCCGAATTTTTTGCTCCCTATCATAGACAAATCTGTGGCTTTGCTAGCTTCGGCCGAACCCAGCAAAGCCATTTTTCAAAAACAATATTTTTTGAATATCTGACATAGTAAGAATGTAGTGCTCATTTCAGGCTGATTTATTACCCTATTCCCAATTTTCTTGCTCCTCTTTATCATAGAAAAATCTGTGGCTTTGCTAGCTTCGGCCGAACTCAGCAGAGCCATTTTTGAAAACATAGATTTTACACCGATTTGATGTATTGAGATAAAAGGGCTAACTTTAGGCTTATTAATCACCAAATTTTCGTATTTTTTGCTCAACATTTCAAACAGAAAAAATACAAGACAATTTGTCGAAATATGCGTCATTCACTTAACATTATGTATTTCTATCAAAAGCATATTTTATGACGATTTCATGTTAAGTATTCATTTTATACTATTTGTCAGGATTGATGGGTCTATTGGGGAATTGGACTTCACTATCGGCTCTCTACTCTCAACTTGATACTTGTGGATGTTCGGCACTACTCAGGACTCTATCAATAACTCAAACCTCCAGAACACAGTTTTAATCGTCACTTGGAGTTTAACAAACTATATAATACATTTTTAGACTCATTCCCGTTCTTCGACCTTAGTACATATCTCGTTCCTCTCTCTTTAACCTCTCTTCTTCTCATAACCTTAAAAACCCTAACCTAAATAAGTAAATATGTCTAAATGACCGTCCGTCGGATATTGTCAACAGTTCGGCCTCTCCTGACGTTATGTTTGGCCTCAAACATAATCTTGCAAACGGACCGGACGACGGATTGTTCGTGCTGGCCTCGCTTTTTCCTCTTCCTTGGGTTCAGCTGTATCCCCCTTCATGTCTCCACTACTTCCTGGTGTCCATTCTTGATCTTCCTCTGAACTGGAATCTGAATCGGTAGACTCGATTTCTTCTTGTCCCCTTTCTATATCTGTATCTGTTTTCACCTCATATTCTTCGGATTCTTCCTCTGAATTTTCTGTCTCCTCAAAAATGTCATCTTCTTGATTCCGATATAGTTTCATTTGAGAAATATGGGCTACAGTTATAGGTACTGATCCTCCATCTTCTTTGTTCAGTTTCTCAAGTTTGTAGGTGTCTCCTGTCAGTTTTTTTATGACAACTAGAGGTCCTCTATATTTCAACTGGGTCTTAGTAAGTTGTCCAGTCGCTGCTGGTATAGTTTTAACGGCTACTATATCTCCTATTTCATATTCCACTCTGTCATAATGTCTTCTATCGTATCTAGCTTTATATTTTCCTTGACATTTTTCCACATTCTCCTTTGCTCTTGATCTAATTGTTTCCACTGTCTCGATTGGGTCTTGTCTTTCTGCTAGATAGATTAACTGGGATTCTCCAAAGCTTGGCAAAAATCCATAAACACATTCAAAAGGTGTGCATGCAGTCATTTTATTTATAGTGGTATTTATTTTTCTCTCAACAATAAGTATTTCCTTGTCCCATTTTTCTTCTTCAAAGTTGCAAGCTGTTACTATTACTGGTACAATGCTTTCCATTTTTATTTCTGCCATTCCATTGGCCTGCGGAAATCTAGCAGCTGTTAAGTGATATTTAATATCATTTCAGACACATATTCTTGAAATGAGTACTAATGAAAGCACTACCTCTATCGGACACTATTATTCGAGGTGCTCCAAAAATATTGATACATTTTTCACTGTTTCTACAGCAGATGTTGTTCTGGTAGCATACAATTTCACATATCGTGAGAAAGCATCGACTATGACGAGTAAATACATCTTTCCTGATTGACTTTTAGGAAATGGTCCCGAATGATCAAGGTGTATCTTTATCATTGGACGTTCAGGTACTTTTGCTGGTCTAAGTATCCCTGGCTTCTTTCCTCCTGGACATTTCATCATCAGGCATTCAAAACATTCTCTAATATGTCTCTTTACATATCGTTGCATGCTCCGGAACCAAAATTTTCTCAATATCTTTTCCACTGTTTTCTCTACTGACCAATGTCCCATTTGATCATGGTACTTGATCACAATTGCTTTTCTCATACTATCTGGTATAGCAAATAGCCATCTATATTCACCATTCACCTTCACCTTTTCAAATAATCGTCCATTTTCTATTTCATAATCTTCTGTTCGATTCTTTTCTTCAGCGTTTCGATCTTCTTCAGCTTTCTTCATCAGTTATATTATTTTTCTAAAATGTTCATCACTTCTCTGCACCATCAAAATTCTATATCTTGTTCAGATTTCATCTGGAATACATTTAGCCGACTACCATATACTTCTTCCATCATGCCTTGGGGGTTTTAGTTTTCTACTGCAGCTCTACTCAGGGAATCAACATGTGCCATTTTATGACCTGGACGATGCTTGATTTCAAAAGTATACTCTGATAAGGTTGTGTACCATCGAGCAATTTGAGCTTGTAACGTCTTCTTGGCATTTAAAGACACAAGGGCTTGACAATCACTTATTACCGTGAATTCTATACCTAGTAAAAATAGTCTGAGTCGCTCGACACACCATACAATTGCTAATAATTCGAGTTTTGACGAATGATATTTTTGCTCTGCATCACTTGTCTTCTTTGATACACAATATACCAAATGCAGTTTATTATCATTTCCTTTTTGTAGCAACATTCCGGCTACTCCTAATGATGATGTATCACAATGCAATTCCGTATAACTTTTGGGATTATAAACCTGTAGTACGGGTGCTTGTTGCAACAATTGTCTCAATTTTTGGAAGGCTTCTTGTTGTTCACTTGACCATTTGAATTCATTGGTTCCTCTAGTTAGATTTGACAGAGGACGTGCAATGAAAGCATAATTTGGTACAAAACGTCGGAAAAATCCAGCTAGTCCTGAAAATCTGCGAACTTCATGTTTATTTATTGGAACTTTGAAATATTCCAGAGCCTCTATTTTACCTGGACCAGGTCAAAGTCCTTTATCTGCTAATTGGAATCCCAGAAATTTTTACAGTTTGTTGACCAAATACACATTTTTCCAATTTGAAAGTTAGTTTTGCTTTTTGGACATCACTGAACACTAAATATAGTCTATTTAACATTTCATTCCAATCAGTGGCTGGTATCAAAATATCATCTAGGAATGATGTGGCTATATTGTTTCTTAAATCACCTAGCACCACAGTCATCAGTTTTGAGAATTCATGTGGAGCATTTACAAGTCCAAAACACATTCGTTGTCCCATCAGGAGTTATAAAAGCAGTTTTATGTTTGGAATTTTCACTCAAAGGGATTTGTAAGTACCCTGACATTAAGTCTAAGACACAAAATACAACACCAGAGAACAACACTACGTCAGATTGGCAACAAAAATAAAATTCAAGATTGGTTCATATTAGAAGGCTTGAATCCGCCGACCTACCCTACAACAAAGAGCAAGGTAAGAGGGAAACATAATATTACAACTATTAAGCAAAATTCAGTGAATTGAAAAATTTCAGGCAATCAAAGTGAGTTTGTTCATTCAGAGAAGTTAGATGGTTATTCTTTCCTTCTATTATGATCCGATCTTGATTCATATTTTTGTTGCTAATCTGACGTAGTGTTGTTCTCTGGTGTTGTATCTTCCATCAATATCTATTATTTCCATGTATCTATTTTTGTGTTCCATGATCTGGGTGACTTGACATTATTTGACAGTTGAAATTTTGTGGTGTCAGTGTCACTGCACATGTAATTCCTCCTATTTAGCTGGTTTTTTCCGAAGCCACATCATACTTTTCATTAGTTTGATAATTTCTTGGGTAATCGCCACGTTTTGGTGATTTAAGGGCACGTGAGTCCTCATAAAATATGAACCCGACCCTTGAATGATCATTTCATAAGAATTTTAAAAATAAAAATAATTTTTATACTTTTTATAAAAACACAATTTTACATTAACAGTAAGTTTTCCGATTCTGAACTTCCTTTACATATCTATTTAACTGTTTGTATTCCAGATCATGGAGCAGTTGTCTTTGTTTGCTCTGTTATTGTCCACGTTATTTGAATTTCAACTTTTTCCACTTCCATGTAGGTAATCAATCATTGCATTCATATCCTAGGTCAATACCGTTTTTTTTTTAGAACTTTGAACTATTTTATCGGCTGATGATGGGCTTATATAAGCCCGAAACATGTACCATTGATGATCTCTGATCATTTCGATAAAAGTTGTGGAGATGACTTTGGGTTTTTCATCTATGGACTGTCAATAAAATTGTCTTATCCAAAACCATATAGTCTGTAATATGTTGGCTCACATAATAGCTGGTTATCACTAACAAACTTCTCTGTGACTGTGTATACTGCACTCCCAACATCAATGAATGCATCAGTCTTGATGATGTCATTTACAACAATAT